TAGGACTAAAAAATAAAAAAATAAACAAACGCATATTTCAAGAAATTCTTCCTACTATTTCTGTAGCGAGTCCAGCGGTTAGAATGAGTTGGGCCTATAAGCAGTGATTCCCGCCGACTCCACCAGTCTTGTACCTATAGTGGACCTAGAGCTTTAGCTTAGGACTTTAATATAATAAACATATTTCGAGAAATTCAAAAATTCCCTTTTTCCTCCCCTCTCAATCTTGTCGCATCCATCTCTGGTTTGTGATCGAGCATAGGCATTTTCACCATGCCTCCAGTTCGAAAAAGCGTCCAAACGTCTCGTTGGACAGCACGAGGGTCCGCCCGAGTGCTCTCGAAAAATTACTTGGCCTTGTCTAGTCTCCGAAATGCGCAGAGATGAGCAAGGTCTCAACTAAAGGGAAGGAAAAAGCACTTCCAATCGTCAAAGAGCCCGATACTGACATGATCAGGTCAGTGGAAATTGTTGAGGAAGCTCCTCAACCATCCTCCATCCCTCATGAGATTGATGAATCGTCAAAATCTCCTCCGACCGCGTCAATACCGTCGGAAAACGCTGCAACAAAAGCAACTCCAACCAAAGAGTCGCTGCCTCAAGCTGTCACTAATGCAGAATGTCCTCTGTAACTACGACCAATAGTCGAAGCCGAGCAACGACGCGCCGCCGAAATAGCGGCAAATCTGGCACTCTGCTCCGCTGCCATCTCTGGGGTCAAAGCAACCCTCCTCCCTTTGACCAACGGGTCGAACAGACAATTGGTAGACTTGATGAGAGTATACCTACGCGCAGACATTGCGCAATACACGGCCACGGGCCGGCCTCGCCACACGTCCTCCCTCCTCGCCCGACGAACCCCCTCCCAAGGACTCCCGACGCCAGGAGCCAAACCATACCCGCTGTCCCAGGACAGCTTTCAAAATGTACCTGGGCCATTGAGGGAAAAAACGGACAGTGATAAAAAGCAGTTTATGTAGTAAAGACCGTGGCGCAAGCTCTCATCTTACGCTGAACGAGAAAAAATACAAGATGGGCTGCAGTGCGCCGTAGGTACTGCTAGCTCTCTACACCGAGTTAGAACCGGCTTTGCGATTCTAACAAGAGATGAATATACCAGGGAAAGGCCTCTAGATGCCGCACCGAATTTTTCGAATTTCAACGCCGAGCTCGAGGAACCCTCCAAACTTGTCGCCTTTCGAATCCCGAATACTCCCGCGACCATAAAAACACTCGACGGTATTAGTAGGGTCGATTCTGAGTGTATCTTAACCGAGATATACCTTCAAACAGTGGCAGGCTACACGACCTACCCTAGACTTGTTCTTATTCTCAGACGGAGCTCTAATGGAAGACCGAGCAGGTGCGGGCTATGTCATCTACCGAGGTCTTACGCAGGAGATTGGGCGATGATCACTCCCACTCAAAAACTCGGCAGAAGTGTATGATGCAGAAATTGCCGGGGCTACTGAAGTTCTTGCCGCAACTCTTCGCAACCCACTGGCCTATTATGCCTCTAACGTCAGTGTCTGCCTTGACAACCAGGAGGCTGCCATCCGTCTGCTCTTGGATACGCCCATAGCGTCCAGCTCGGCAAAAATCTTTAACCTCCGCAAGCTCGCAGTGAACTGGAGAAGGCGGCCACGCGGCCAAAATACGTGGCCTGGGGAATTAGCCGTTCGATGGTACCCAGGCCACGCAGGTATTCTTGGAAACGAAGTTGCCGACGCTCTCGCTAAAGCTGCCTTTGCGGCTCCAGCTCCACACTCAGAACTCTCCATTGTGAGGGCAAAAAGGGAATTCAAAGCCCAATACGAGGCTTCGGTCGCACTATATTGGGCAGAAAATGCACCTTCTAGATACAAAGAATTGGGTATTGGTCCTTATACTAAGATCAGTATTGAGCTTGCCCGTCTAGGGCGACGCGGATAAGGATATCTACTAGCTGCACAGTCCGGTCACGGCGACTTCGCGGACTACCACCGACGCTTTCAGCATGGAAATGCTACCCTTACCTGCTCATACGAAGAAGAGAAGTCCGCCAACCACTTTTTCTGTTGCCACCTAGGGCAGTATCAGACAGAGCTCTACAGGCCTCAGATCTTAAATCCCACCATATCTTGGGCTCTTGCTGCAGCGGAGGGAGTTCATGAATTCAGTAGCTGAGTGCATGACACAAACTTTTTTGGAATAGCACAACAATAAGTCTGACGAGAATGAAGTCATGTAATCAATGCGAGAGAACTTTAAAGCGATGCAACCAATTTTCCTCTTTACTAATTTTATTTCTTTGCTTTAAATTCTCCATGGAATAATATTTGCAAGTCATGAGAGACAACGGGAGGCTGATATTCATGTTAAATTAAATATTTGGGCCTAGGATATTAAGATCCTGGTTTTCATTTGTTATGTTGAGTCTATGTAGGCACCAACACGTCGGGTAGTTGTATCTAAACAAGGCTAACCGGTACGTGAGGAGCTCACGTGCTGTGCGCGGGCACGACGTTGAATATTATAAATATCTAAATAAACTTGACAAGTCTTTTCTTCAGGGGAAGTGTTGGCATAGTAATTTCGTACGCGCAAACCCGTACATCATCATAACTGTAGCCGGACAGAAAAGAAGGAGATAGATGATTCCAACTATTAATACTAAATAGCGCTGCATATTCAGTGTATCAATTACCCGGGTTTACTTGAGGAACTTTCTCGACACTTTTGAGTGGTGACCCCTGCGACCCTCCAGCCCTCACTGTAGAGTCTGCAGAGCCGAGGTTGAATAACAAAGTCCTCACTTCGATGAAGACTCCCAATCGCTTTCGCCGTCTGTATCGTCTTCATCTCTCTGCACACCCCACTATCACCATTATCATGAAGCTAACCACAATCAGATCAGACGGAAGGGTCGAAGCCCTACTGTTGGTATAAATGTCATGGCCTCACTTTCCAATGTTAGTCATAGATTAGTGATCGTTCATTATGAGTATTTGCATCGTTTTATAGAATAGGAGAATAGACAAGGTCCACCAACACAACCGCAGAAACGTGACATACAGTTTACGTTCTTTGCACCGTGTTTAAGTATCCCGACACCTACTCATCACCAACCCTTGATCATGGAGGAGATGCCATCCGATGAGTTTCCGGAGCGTACCCAGCACTCGATACGGAGATGGTGGATTGGATCAAGTCGGCCTCGACTGTTACAAAGAAGGGAGATATAGATGAATATGCGCACCTCATGTGGTCCCCATATCTACGCATCGCCTGGCTGGGGCTGCAGGATTTTTGAGACTTTTTTCCGCGCGCGCAGTTTCCATTACTACCATTTTTTTTTTGGTAGAAGGTTCCGTGAAAAGGGTGGCCGAACCCCACGGGTAAACACTGAGCTGAATGACTTTCCACTGTTAGCAACAAATCAGAGATCGCTTTAGCAAAAAAAGGGGATAGAAGCACTGTACAAGTTGTGGCCCGGGCCAGAGAGGAGCCCAATGTGCTAGATAAATATTAACTCAAGTAGTACAATAAACATACCTCTCTCTTGCTCCGCTTAAAAAACCAATACAATTAAGCTGGGCTGGATGGTGCAGTGGTTGACCATCCAGGCCGTTCTCCAAAGTAGATACTGGGTAGCTTGAACACCTACCCCATTCGAGACAGGAGAAAGCTGGTTCGAATCCAGTCAGAACCACACACCACTGTCTCTCGCGGTGGTATTGTACTGGTGGAATGATGAAAGCACGCCCGGATAGTCACAGATTTTTCACTCTTTTCCCTGTGGTGGGTATGCACGGATGAGGTTATATGCCGTAAGGGTTAACCTCGAGTAGTATCTGCAAATGAAATCTGATTGTGAGTGTTCTAAATTTCAAATTGAATCATCCGACTTAAAGCACATATCTTCCGATAAAAACCTGCATGGGCCTCAAGGCGCCAAAACAGGATAATGAATTATATACATATATATATTCCTTATCTTGCGCCCGGACTCCAACGTGAACAACATTACATAAGCATTACAATTTATAAGAGCCTAGTACTAATCTAGAGGTCAATCATCCCTGCACCCTAGTTTGATGGATTTACAGTATTATTTTTGGATAGGATTTTAATTGCGCATGCAGCTAGGTAGCCGTGACACAATTTCAGAGAAAAACTACACAGTTTATGACTCGATTTAAAAACAAAGCAATCATGTCTTGGATGCCATTCGCAAGTATCACTGCAAAGTTATGGCAACTTTTTCTTCACCTCATGTCAACCCTCATCCGTAAATATTCACTCAGGGAAACGTCTCAAAACCCTGACTTATCCAGATATGCCTCCACTATCCATTAACTTGTGTCCGCACGAAATATGATCTGAGGCGTCTCCCTCACAAGTGGTTTAGGTGCCCAGGCTACTCAAACCTTACCAGAGAACACCACAGAAGTTATGGTTGTGATTATTGTTTAATTAGGGATAAAAAGAGCAAGACGGTTGGAGGCCATAAATGCCCTGTATTAGTAGTTCCATATAAGCCTATAGTGAGACTAGGAGCTATATGTTAATGGTAGCTGGGTCGTAGCATCTTGAGAGAGTGCTGAGGTCATAGTCGAAATCCACGTTCCATTTTAACCTCACACTTTATCAAACCTACTTTTAGTATTACTGTATCAGTTGTCTAAAGGAATCATGTTCTAATGTAACATATTAAAAGATTGATATATTTAACCCAGCTCTACTTCATAGTCTATCATTATGCCAAATTAGTAATACCCTGAATTGTGGATAAGCTAAAGATGTATAAAATTTAACTCTCTTATACCTATGAAGCGCAATAAGGCCGCAATCGGGTCCGGGACGATCGACAGCAATATATGTACGGCACTTAATCTCATTGAGATTTCATTGACAGGTTTCCAGGCCTGATTGTGAGCTAAATAGATTTGATCAGAGAGTGGGAAGTTTGGTGAAACTTTACATGATACAGAAACCTTAATATCACAGTATCATTTCAGTTAAGTTTCTTCACCACGTGCGTTTGACATATGTCGTGTCGTACTCATTCCACTATTCTTGATATCTTGAGAATCTTTTTGGTTATTCCTCTTTTCAATCTCGCCTACCAATCCCTTATAGTGAACCTCAGCCTGGACCTATACCATGTCAGTGAGAAAAGTAAATTCTGACATCTACCGTACAGTGGCACTGTAGCTAACTGGCTGCCAACTCCAGCCATTTCGTTTTTCCCAATCAGCTCCAGCAGCTAATAGGGTCCGCAAGACTAGTACGTGCCCATACATGCTAGCGAAGTGCAATGCTGTATTTCCGTCGTGATCAGCAGCATTCAAGAGTTCATTGGGATTATCTTGACTCTCTAACCCACCAGGTGCGTAAGTCAAAAGAAGTTGCACGGCAGTATCATGGCCTCCCATTGCAGCTAGCATCAATGCATTCATTCCACGTACATTTCGCCTTGGGATGCTCGTAGGACAACGCTCGCAAAGTATATGGATAACATCTGTATGGCCCTCCTTAGCGGCTAGATGCAGTGGCGTATCGTAATTCTCATTGAGAGAAATCTGTGGGGATCCAGGTGTTCCTTCGTGGCCCAAGTCAAGAAGTAGTCGACAGATGCTAACGCTGTCGAGTGAAGCTGCTAGGTGTAAAGAAGTGTTAGAAAGACCACTCGGTGTATGTATAGTGGAGGGTGTAGTGTCTGGGTTGTGAAGCAAATTTGGGTGAGATTTCAGGATTCGGGCAACGAGGGTCGAATCGCCTCTGTAAATTGCACGGCGGAGGCGCAGCGACGGCTCAATCCTGGTGTCATTAGCTAACAGCAATTATTTATCATATAAGGATAATACCTACATGTTCTGTGCATTATATGGCTACCGTACATAAGAATCATTAGGGATAAAGTATCTCGTGAGTAGCTGGACTGTAATTAGGGGTTATAATCCATGTGTGCCTGAAAAGGTTCTGTACGTTACTGGGAAGCTTTATGACGACTTATCCGGGCCGACCCTATGATATCTCTTGCCCCCGGCATGAAAACCCTGGAACGTGCCCTGACGTGCACGCGAAAAATTAATGATAACAGCCTTATGGAAATATCAATAATTGACCTATGACTTTTCAAAATCTATCCAAAGTAACCTCTTCTTAATCCATGCATGCTCCTCGAAGCTTGTGAGGATAGGGTGGATCACATATCTTTTGTTTGTGAGCTGAGTCATTTTCCTTCGCTTGAAGATCAGATTTGGATAGCCCTCGCGACAGAGGATCAAGCCTAAACACTTCTGTTTGTGTAAAGAAGCATACCTCATAGTGGTCTTTGCGAATAAAATTTTGAGTAGGAGTGTCTCTAACGTCATCCTACCTGTAAAGATGGCATCGATTATGTGTCATAGCTAGATAGCTGAATAGACTCAAATGATAAAAAAATAAATAAGGGTCAATACCTGTCCATGTTCGCCTCTGCGAACCTGAGAGTGGAATATTTTCCTAGAGCCAAGTTCAGTTAAATCTCACAATACCAAATAGGGTGGCCCAAAAGGCGATGATTTAAGACTATCCAGCAAGTTAATTTTCTCCCTACCAGCAAAAGAATTCTCACCAGAGTCTCATCAAGTTTACAAGCACGACCTAGTACGTCCTTACCTCAATGATCAAATCTCTCATTAACTATTTCCTGGCCTCAACAAGGCATCAAATATACGCCCGCGCCTATATTTATACCCGCCTTCGGAAACAAATTATGGCGCACAAATCTGAGAGGCAATCCTTTGAAATGGGCGTGAGAGAAATCGGGATAATCTTAGGAGGTAACGCAGAGTAGTAATACAATCTCGACGGGAGGGAGCTTTGGAATTTTGGCAAAGAGATTTACAAATCGATGAGCAATATGCGATCCAATTCTTTGATTGTGAGAGTGCAGCCGATGCTACAGAAACAAGCCAACGATTGAAGGCGCCATGGTACGCCTCCTGGTGGTCTTCTCTTGTGAAATTTTAGTCTCCTGGGCACCTATTTCACTTGGTAAGGAGACGTTTCAGATCATATTTCGCGCGAAGACTAGTAAATGGATGATGGAGACAGTCTGGATAACTTGGAAATTTTGAAAATTTTCTTAGGATGAGTGTCCACAGATGACGGTTGACTTGGAGTGAAGAAAAGGCTGTCATAACTTCGCAGCGGTACTTGCGAATGAAATCTGAGGCATGAGTGCTCTTCTCTTACGTTGAGTCGTCTATTCTGTACTTTTCTTTAATATTGTGTCATAGATAGATAGCTACATACACAATTAAAATCTGATGCAAAAAAAATATATTGTCACTAGTGGGATATGAATCTAAGCCATCCAGATGATACGTGAGAGAACCAGGTTCGATGACGTTCTACCGTAAAATCCAACCATTGCGTTGTTTAGAGTTACCTGTAATGCAACTAGCACCAATTTGAACACATGGAGCCACAGCAACTCTCGATGCAATTAGGACTAGCCAGATTAAATGGGGTCGCAGTTCCATCCGCCTTCTCGACGATTCTACCGCCGTCACGGCACTAGGGTCGGGAAACAAGGTATCGTCATCTCGGTGATTGTTGGAAATATCGCGCAATACATTGAGCGCGATATCCATGAAACAAAAGAATAAGTTGACTAAAGGAGTGACGCGGTCGGGTTATACATGGAAGCGTGGGAGGTTTGCGCTTTAAATACAACTGTAAGCGACAGAGAGTCTAAGCCACAGCATAAACGATTGTGGCGCCATCTACTATGGTACCACGATTTCAAGTTTTCAGTGGATTTAAATGGGCGCATATTCGCTTCAGGTGTTGTACCCCTGTTAGCGCCCAATTCGACAGGGTACATAATTATTGTCCTGTATTTCCAGGCCTAAACCGAGGGCACAATTTGATTTCATGTCACCCTCAGTTTTATGCAAACCCAACCCGCTCTCCATTTCTTTCCCATTGCTTTGATGAGTGCCGACCGCTAAAAAATTACACAGCTCTTCTCATCATGTGCTTGAGTGACAAGAAGAATTGGATTTCTCGAATACAAAGTTATTTATTCAGAAGACACATGGCTTTACTCGATACATAACTTATTTTACAGATGAATCCACCTCAAACCCCACCTTCAACACCTCGAAACAAACAATTATCCAGAGATCAAAACATTTTAGTAAGTAGAAAAATTAGATATGAACAAAAATAAATTAAACGAAAAATTAAGATTTATGGGCTTCATGAATCTGACAAAAACCAGACGCAGATTGCCGTGCAACTAGACATCTCAGTGACAAATAAGCAATTCACTGCGCCGTGGAACTGTCTCCCCAAAAAGAGGAAAAGACCGTCCTCAAGACTGAAAGCAGATGTTGTTGATCAGATTATATCACGTGGAGTATTATCTGCAAGCCGCTGCAAAACATTTCTGGAACTCGCCTCTGGCCCCCTTTACATCTTGGTTTTAGCGTGCAGGTAATACAAAAAGAACTTAAATAAAGAGGAAATCATCGACATGATGCTCGTCTAAAGCCTTCAGTATCTCAAAAAATTATGAAGACGCGCAGAGAATGGCCTGAAACTCATCTCAATTGGACATATAAAGAATAGACGTCAATTTTACGGACAGACGAGACTTGGGTAGAGGATGGAAGACATTCTAGAGAATGGGTGACGAGAAGTGTTCGTATATTCCTCTATAAGATAGTAATTTGATACTCCAAAATTATGAGCTAGACTTCCCAAGAACACAACGCTGATTGTGTTGGAGAATAATCGAAGAAGAGGGTCGGATGGATATTCTGGGGTTGCTTCGCAGGGCCAGAAAAAAGCCCTTGTTTATTTCGGGAGAAGGAGTGGGGATCCATTAACTCCCAAAAATATTGCAAGAAAATAGTTTCTCTTATTGATGGTACGGTCTCGATGAGACCTTGGCTTTCTGTAATGCAAGATAATGCTTTTACCCTTACAGCAGCAAATACTTCGGAAGGCTGAGCCAGAGGCTCACTCAACCGATTTTCTGGCCGGCCAACTCGCCTGAGCTTAACCCGATTTAAGCTGTTTGGAATAAGATGAAGGATTACATCAAGCGTCATGATCCGAATCTGGGTTGCGGAAAGCAGCGAACTCAAGATATTCTTTGCAAGATTGTAAAGGAGGCATAGGATTCCGTGTCTTTCGAAGATCTTGTGAGACTCATTCAGAGTATGCCAGCAAGATGTCAGGCTATGATAGATGCGGATGGGGGACCGACCAGATATTAAGGCCTGAAAATATTCTAGCCACATGTTCAGATCCAAGGTTAGGATAAGACAGTGGCTCTATTTTGTGATTTGAAAACTTTGAACTCTTGTAAATAAGTTATAAAATCAAGTAGCAAAAATGCACAAATGTTATGCAGCCGATCATTATACCAATTTAGTTTAGTACGAAGGAAAGACCCACTGCAAACTATGGTGTCCAGGTAAAAACTGCCATACAACTTTTTTCGAAAATTTGCACAAATACGGAGGCTAACTCCAATATGGAAGGTGACCATGCCTAATGAGTGTTAGTTTGCACGCTAAACCCCCTGCCAAAGCTCCATTGCAAACTTGACACCGTGGCAACACGGTAGGCATTGAAAACCCTCAATAACCTCCTTGTGGCCACGCCATAGAGCCGCTCATGTATCCAATAGGTAGCCTGCGTTGCTACTCTATTACTCACTCCAACTTCTTAAATATACACAAGATCGTGTGGGGAACCTAGACGAAATGGAGGTCCCGTACTTCTACAACACTCCGTGTCTACATTTCCAACAGTTTTCCATGATTTGACGGCGTCTGCCACTTCTGCAAAGACCAATGGTGAAGAGTAGCTAGGTGTGTTAGTTAAGAGTTTTCTAGCTACTTCTTGATTACATGGGAACCCCTAGAGATTGCTGGCGAAGCGAGTGGAGGGGAGACTGACGGCCGCCTTTACCCCTTGAAGGGCCGCTTGTATGTCCGCGCCATAACCTTCTTTGTACTTGCCCAGAGATTGAGCGCTAGGGACAACCTGATATCCAGGTTGAAAGTGTTAAAATATTTCAATTGATATCGACCCATACAAACATACCGTGCAAGCTACTCATATTGATACTCAGGACTGCGATGGATAGTGGGGACTGATGGCGTTTATGGCAGTGCGAGGTTTGGTAATTATGGGCAGGGATAGGACAGGTGAACATATATATCGCGCACTTGACTGTTCAGCAACATGCTGATGCTTCGAATACATTCACAATGCCCATAACTACTCTGGGCTAATCAACCCTTTCTATGTTGGTCTTATCCTCTAATTAAAGTCTTTTCGCCCCTTTTATCTTGTATGACAGGTCATGGTTTTCTTCGTCTTTCTGGCTACCATCAAGCTCAGAGTTATGGATAGATTAATTCTTTAACAGAAAGAGAGCGTACCCTCAGCCTATTCTGCCATCGGGAACCTTTGATCCATATCTGTACAACAAGATACCGCTTCGAGATAGCGATCGGAGAAACATGTCAAAGTTGTGGACCCTCCTATCTTTTGGTTCGAATGTGGCGCCAATTCTAGCCAGAGAACCTTCCATTGTCTCTTTATTGGTCCATGGGGATGTGAGAAGTAGGTCTGGCTTGTCAGACGCAGGAATACATGCAAGTGATGGGATATACCGTGTCTGGGCAGGGAAGCTAAAAGAATTACGTTTGCGCTCTAGAGAGAGATGTATTTTTCTTGTATTACTTCAGTCATAGAATATTCAGCACACTGGGCTCCTCTCTGACCCGGGCTACACCTTGTACAGTGCTGCTATCCTCTTTTTTGCTAAAGAGACCTCTGATATGTTGCCCTCGATGAA